ATTGGGCTAAATCGGTTTGGAGTTTAGCTATACTCTCAACAATCAGTTGGTCTCTGATTCCCTCTATCTTTAAGTTTTTGATAGAGTCTAGAAAATCTCCAGTTCTTCCTCCAATCCGGATCACAATTGCGCCCTTATCGGCCTGGATTTGCTGGAATATTTGGAAAACCGTAATCAGTTGATTTCTTGGAACATGACATACTCGGTAGAGGAGGTGATTGACAGTTCCACGAGAAGTTAATATGTTGGCTGATTCGTTATCCGCACGAATTACATTGGCTTGTGATTTGACGACTGTTTCGACTTAAGTTTTTTAATAAAATTCTTGTTTTGACAAAAAAAAAATGTATAACTTAAATGAATTCGACATGAACATGAATGATTGATTGAGATAAGCTAACAACTTTTGAAAAATGGAATTTTTTAAAGATTTTAGTTGGACAAATATTTTTTTTTTTAAATTAATTTTTATTCTTGTTAATGAAAATAGACTCGCATATATCCTAAAATTCCTTTCTATTATATATAATATATTTGTAAATATGAACTACTTGATTTAGCGATCCGATCTGCTTCCTCATTTTTCGATCTAGGGACAAAAGCAAATCTCACTTCTAATTTCTTCGCAATCTCGTAGATGTCGTGGATGATACCATAAATTTCGAGGTGTATACTGTCCGGTCTAGAACCGGTTTAATGATATAAATCAGATTTTTTGACCAAAACAAAAAAAATGAACTACTACAAGTTACAAACAAAGTCGGCCTTCTGGCTACAAACAAATCAAACATGTGTTTAGAACAGCCGAAGAATTTATTAATTTGATGGGCTAATAATTCCCAAGAAATATCTATAACTCGGTTGGCCACTTTTCATATTATGAGGAGAGGACATTGTCGGTTTTGAGTATCAACGGTCACATTGTTTTATTCTCACAAAGAAAAAAAATTAATGGGCCAAAAATAATTTAGGTTTGAGATCACCAAATTTTCAGGGAGGTGGGGTGTTGCAAGGAACGCAAGTATACCAGTAGCAATTATGCCTTTGTTCCTGGTTGCTATGCATTATAAAGTTATCACAGTCACATCGAACAAAACTCAATTTTTTTGGAAGCCAAGGTCTTTCCTTTATTTTAGCATCGCACGACTTGCTTGCGTTAGGGGGACATTTTGCAGGGTAATTACCGTAATATCTGTATTTGGTAGGAGCTATTTAAGACGAATTTCGACACCTTAAGCTAGCCACATCAGCAAAACTAAAACTTTCTAAAATACTGCCACATCAGACTGCAATTGTCCTTCATTCCTTCGTTGATTTTTTATACCTCTCAAACGAAAATGTGACCCATTAAAAACATAAGCTCACAACCCATCTCCAATTTAATACGAAAATGTGACCCATAAAAAACATAAAGCCCACAACCCAACTAAACTCTTTTTCCTTACGAGTAACGATTGTTTTCCTCTTCTCAACCCTAGAAAAAACGCAGACAATGATTCCTCTCTCTCACGATTCCTCTACCCATCGTTCTTAAATTCTCCCACCGTTATGGCTACACCACTTCCTCACCTTCATTGTCATTCCCACTAATCGCAATTCAATGGCTTTAATGGCCACAACCTACTCCTCCATGACCTTCCACTCCCTAGCTTATATAAATCAACCGTATATCCAAAGTTCTTCAAATCTACCCACAGAAACAACAGAATCTCAAAATGACCTCCAAATCTCTTTGCGTTGCAGAAAAATTTCAGCACGGTCGCAACAATTGAAGGTGATTTTTTTTATTGAAGAAATCTTAGGCTGTCTGATGCATTGCGGTCTTACACCATGGTTTGGAAGTAGATTCTTCACAATGTAGAGATCAATTTGCATCTCTTCACAAATTTATTCAACAACGGCCATT